CACTTTCCCCTCCAGACATCAGCTACCAACATTTCAAGGTAACCACTCACTCTCCTGACTGCTAAGGGTGTGGGTGAATTTTGCTTATCCATATAGTTTAGGAACCCTTGGAGGGATAGGGGACAAGATCTAGGGGAGAAGATCTCCTTCTCATTAACTCAAATGTAGAAATTCCTTCGTCTGTGAAGGTAGTTGATAAAACTGACATGTCAGCAGGACCTATGATCCAAAGAATCAGTCGCCACATCCCTGTCTGGTTACAGCTGCTGTGGGTACCATGGATATTATTACTGGCTGTGACTGCTTCAAAATTACAGTACTTACAGCAGCTGCTTGATCTTATTTAAAACATTAATAGAGAGGCACACACATTATCGAAAATTGGTTTTTAAGTGTCCTGATAGCTGTATTCAATACAATTGATTTTCCTTTTAATGCTGCATATTTTGGCTTGAAAACTGTGATTCTGTGATGGGCAGGGAACTCTGAGGCTCTGGCTTGATCCCTGCTCAGTTGCTAACCCTGGGGTTCATCTTCCTCATCTGGACAAGGAGGTCTTCAAAGCCCTTTTGGGGGGTTCCTTGATGTTCTTCTCATGCTCTCCTGGGGTGGGTTTCAGTTTCTCCCTGACTATTGCCAGCTCTGACACACTGGGACACTGGGGGCATCTCTGGGTAGGGATGGAGACCAGCACTAAAGACTCAAGAGGGAAGAAGCCTAGCCTGGGGGCCCCCAGCCTGCCTTGCCCTTGAGTCTGACAAATTCCATTCTGAGTCCTTCTGGGTCCCAGTGGGTGAGGCAGAGCACTTCTGGAGAGCCAGGGAGCCTCGGGGGATGGTCAGAGGCTAGAAGCCCAGAATTTTTGTGTTCAAGCACTGTCATACTCTCCCTTGTCCTCACCATCACAGGTCTAATAGATGAGGCCTTGGGTTCCAAGGAGGGTCTTCAATGTGGTTCAACAGAGAACCCACACTCTCGGGATCCCTGGCATCCAGGGGTGCATCTGAAACTAGATTCCAGATGAAATTCATTGCTCCCCAACAGCCAGGCAGCCTCAGGTTCCAAAGTAAACCTGCTAAGAGTGGCCTTTGTGTCTGGGCTGCTCCTGGTGGGAGGGCAGGATCGGCTTTCGCCCTTGTTCTCCTGCCTGCACCTGTTCTGGCCCCACCTTGCTATGCTCAGCCTGGTCTGTGGTCCTGCTGCAGGGTTCTGGGCTGCCAGGGTGAGGCAGGCTCAGGAGTGGCCCGAGTGTGCTGAGGGTGTGCTGGTGTCTGTGACTGTGGAAGGCCTCTGTCAGCTCCCTATACTGAGAAGCTCTGATGGGTTTGGTTCAAAGACAGCTGGTCCAGGACCGCACTCCTTCTGCAATGGCCCTCCAGCTGTTCTCAAGACTGGAACAGTTTCTTCCAGCTGACACCTCTGCCTAGGGACATTTCCCACCTAGCAGTCCCACTCTTGGGGAACCCACTCCATCCTAACTACCTCCCTCTGCATCAGGTCACTGGGCACATCTCTCTGTAAGTCTCATGGGTCCAGGAGTTAGTGGGAGCAATGGTTTGGACTCCTTTCTAGCTTCTTGGTGCAATTTCTGGGAACATGCCAATGTTCCTACCTCCATCCCTAATGTCATAGTCTGGGACAGGCTGCTAACCTCTGCTCAGACCACTGCTGTGATACTTAATACTGATGGTCAAGCTGACAGGATTTACAATCACCTAGGAGACAAGCCTGTGGGCACACTTTTAGATGGAGTTAAGTGAGGTGGAAGACCCACCCTGAATGTGGATAGAGGGTACCATCCCACAGGCTGGGCTGGGAATCCAAGATTGAATAGAAAGGACAAAGCAAGCTGGACACCAGCATTCATCTCTCTGTTTCCTAACTGTGGATACAACCTCTTGATTCTGCCCCATGCCTTCCCCTCCGTGAGGGCCTGTGTTCTCTTGAACTGTGAGTCAAAATAAACTCTTCTTCCTTAAGTAGTTTCTTGTCAGGTACTAAGGCAACAAGAAAAGGGGTACAGTAGCCACATCCCCACCGCTGCTGCCTTCCTCTCCTTCCATCCCAGTCAGACAGACATTCCCAAGTGCTATAGGTGTGTCTCATGTGACAGCACTTACCATGTGCTCTGTTCAAGACCTCCCTCCTCCAGGGTGCCCCTGACTGCCCACTCACCTTGGCTGTCTTTCCTCCTCCACACCCTCAAGTCTTTCCCGTCTA